ACCGATAATAACGAAAATAAATTCAAATAAATAAGGAAACAAACCTGTATGTAGCTTACTGAAAGCAAACTACACGCTGAGAACTATAATTAGATCAATGTGTTCTTATACTGTAGGTAGAGGAATTATGTGCTTTAAAAAATGTGATTTTGGTAACGCTTAGCTGTACGCCAAATGTTAAAGTGAAGTTTGGTGATCGTAGAATGATCCGTTTTGGAGATATCGGAGGAGTCTATGGCAATACGCCACCTTGCGCTGGGTCTGTTGGTTCTACTTTTTTGTATGAATGGAATATCTGTTTACATATACATCTGATGTGTGGATCGCTGTCATTCAATAACGTAAACAAACCCATGAGACATGATTGTAATACTGTAACAGGGACATATTTTGAGAGTTTTAATTGAAATAAAGAATATGTGATATTGTATGATTTTACCGATTGTTCAACGTGTTGTGTATCGCGTCCGTTATATGCCGTCCGTATTAGTGCAGCTATGTATACATGTACGTTCCGTATGTATTCGTTTCGTCTGTATTGTACTTTGTAATTGTACTGTCCGAGTGGTCAGTCTTGGTGTGACGTCGTGTAGTTTCTGTTGTTTCATTGGTTGTTTGTATTGGGCAGTTGGCGGGAGTTTCTTTGTGTGAGAGAGAGATTTTAGTCGGTGTCGGGCATCTTGACAGGACAGACCTGACAGATCTAGATGTAAGTCTTTTACCTTTTCTAACCTTATATTTTCACTTATTCTTTCTATAATATATATTGGTTGAAAGTGTTTAAGATTTATGAAATGTATATATATATTATTTGATAATATTAGACAAGAATGGATAAGATTTTGTGCGTTTGAAAAATAATTGAACATCGTATCTATATTCATGTACATGTACGTGCATTTGTAACCATTTTTATAAAATAGATTATTTCATAAATAATATTTATGAAATATATACATCTGATTTTAATGTGAGATTGTGTAAGACAGTAAGGGTATATAGAGTGGTTTTTATTTGTATTTTTAGAATTCCATATTACGTACAAGCTTATACCTGTGTGTAGACTTGTATCGCTCCTTATCACTGTGGACATGGGCTTTTGGCCATTACCCAGGTAGATATATCATTATTTCTAAATTATCATGATGTATATTCTCGGTGAATACTTTATGTCCTAATGTAAAGATAAATGTATCTTTCTATCATTCATATTACTTAAACAGAATTCCTCGTGTAATGTGACATCATATAGACGTGACGTATTGTCCTAGTGTTTCTGTAAGAGTTATTTCCCTTTGCGTATGAAAGTTGTCAGAGTATGGTTAGCTTGATAGTGTGTTTAGTCTGTTTTTATTTCTTGTTACAGAGTCTTTATTATGTCCATCCATGGAATAAATTGACGAACAACACTTGTGGTCTTGTTATATTTGTTGGCAAGAATAACACCACTATTACAATACTGAAGCATGATTAGTCAGTATTTACTTTTTGGAAATATTGCAAACAAGAAACGTTATATGTCTGCAGACAAGGGTCAAGTTATTGGACGCCTTATCTGCAGACACAATAACCTACCTGTCATGTAAATCTTGAAATTAGGACAAGTTGACGGAGGAGTAGTTCTTCGGTCATCTACATGTATGTTGTTACAGAGGTACTTCTGCTTTGAAAGTATGGTGTAATGTTAGCTTGAACAGGCTTCTAGTGTCAAAAAATGTGCTGACGTTAATAACATCCACTCCCTTATTTGTAAGGTAATTTTTAATAAATTGGCGAGTTGTTGGAGGATCCCAGATGTCTGTACGGACAGATTAAAAAAAAACACTTCATGAATGCTTTGATGAAGATGGTATATCTGCTTGATTTATTGAAATACCGCTGTCTATAGCTACGATAACGTCTAATTTGAAGAGTGAATAAAGAGTGAATTACACTAGTATTACTGCATCTGGGACAGGACAAATTTCCACACGGTCATTGCAGTCATATGACACAGCAATGTCAAGGAGTCTAATATTCTGTTCCTACGGCAAGGTGTGCTCAGCGTTTGATCGTTTGAATGGTGGTAATTTATTTCCAAAATATGGAAACCCGCCGACAGCATAGAATGGTCCGGGAGGTTGAAATTTTGATAGAAACATTGGTTATCTCCACGGTTCTCTTTTAAACGATGACCATTCGTACGTTGTATCGACTGTGTTTTTGTTTTACCAACATATATCAAACCACACAGAGCACATTCAAGAACATTAACAACGTTGGTAGCTTTACGTTTTAGGGGCTCACAGCTTCTGTAAGTATAAACGTTATAATTCAGAGAACATTTGGATTCATTTACAATGATACGAATATTGCAGTTTTAAGGTCCGTTTTGATTATAACTATTGCAGTGTTTGACCAATAGTTTTTCATCGTGAAGCTTTCCCCGAGTATGTGTAATGTATTTTTGTTTGTATGGTTGTTGTTGTCTAATTCAATGATAGATGAGGACCTGTAAAACAGCAAGGAGACAGCTTGTTAGGTTGTATTTACTTTATTCCGCTAAGTACAAGTCACGATTTTTTTTACAAATGAAGGTACTTTCCTGTAGTATACAATATGTAAAACAGTATATGCAATGGAGATACAGTAAAGTGAATTATAATGAAGTCCACAGCAACATAATGAATATAATGACATCTTGACCGATAGGAACTGATTAATCAGTAGGAGATTCAACACAATCATGTTAGTATTGATTAAAAGATAATCCAAAATTTAAAGTTATCATGTCATAAAAGATATCAGAATAATGAACATGAATTGTCGTATTAACGTATTACGGACAAGATCAGGAAGATTTAGGAATTAATCTAACATACTGAACCAATAGTTTACACGACAATGCTCTTTTTCAGAAGGGGAATTAACTATGAAATAGGGGAGATAACTGTTGTAGAGAGATTACTTCGCAGTGAGAAGTATTGTCAATGCCTGAATACTATATATTTAAGTGACAGCTCTTAATTAAATTTAAACAATTGAATAATTTCTATGATTATCACATATTTAATATGCTGCTGCTAAGTAATACATTATAACATACATACTGTTTGTAAGAAGTACAATAATTAGTGTAAGATTTACAATCAATGTTGACAACAATGATGTGTAACATTTCAAAAACTTCCGTAAGGTATATAACAAGAAATAATACGTAGTCTCACTAGAAAACAGTAAGTAGACAGCTTGTTACGGAGATCTTACTTTATTCCGTCCCAAGTACAAGTGAAGATTTGGGGGGAAAACTACAATTCAAGGGACTGTCCGTGAAAGGTGAGATTTTGATTGGCTGACCAGTTCGTGGCGCATGCTCAGATTGCTCACAGGTACGTGTGGGTTCTTAACAACGCAGCAGTAATGCACGGTTACGTCATGTTTATTGGTAGCCTGGACTAATTGAATCTGTTCTCCTTTTCATTATCCTATTACAATAGGTTTTAGTGTGTGTCCAGGCTGGCCGAAATGATAAAAGTGGCTTGAGCCTTTTGTAAATATGTTATTGACTTAATTATAATATATACTGCTTTTAAGACAGGATGACCAGTACAAAAAGTAAGTTTGAACAATGAAATATTGACTTAAGTTGGTCAAATACAAAAACACTTCAGCAAAGATTAGTGGTGAGAGATTTCCGGCTTTAACTCAAAACACGGGTTTTCCTAGCTAGGGCTTAATATTAATAGAAAAATTGACAACTTAAGCAATAAATTACAATAAGACATATATTTTATTTAAATTTAGATTAATAAGAATCGTGAACCTAAATTTAATGTAAAATGTAAATACTCTCAGAGTATTCATTACATATAAAAAATAAAGATAAAACAAATTTCATAAAGAAAAATGGAAAAATGGATAGTGTCCTTATGAAACGTATATCAATTTAAATAAAATCAATCTTCAGAATCACCTGTGCCTGCCAATAACCGTCACTGTTTTGATTGTAAGTTGTTTTTGCAAATTAAGACCTCCCCCACTCTAGCCATTTTTCTGACCTTTTACTTCCTAAACTACCACAGGTTGTCTGTACCTGAATGAATCGACGTGAATTCCCCTCTCGATACTCCGGTTTCCTCCAATGTCTATCAAAGTTAACGAGAGAGATTGATGTAATGATTACACGACCTCCGTAAAATACCAGTAGTTGGTCCTAATGAACAGTACCTATCATGTGAATTTCAATCTTGTTCAATAAGGAACGTTTTTTTTCGTCAGTTTGTGTTTTTCGAATCACATCAGTACATATATAGATATGATCTTTTTTATGGTCGAAACAGATTTATTTACAAAATTGTGTTTTTCACACCATGTGTTAAATAAATACACATTGTCATTGCATCATATGAAAGCATAAATTTCGGTCATGTATAAACAATTTAGACAGTAGGATTAAGAAACACGACCAAATCTAAGCAATGTAGTATACTGATGAGCATGCTTCCCATCCGTTGTAATTACATGTAGCTCAAACGTGCCCGGAATTACACCGAGATCATTGACTTCGTCAATTAGCTGAAACAGGAACAGATGATAAAAGGAGAGAGGGTAAGAAGTGGATTAGGGTGAGAGAGGTGATAGTAAATGACCATGATATATGTTAGTAATTAAACGCAATGTTTCAAAATTAATTCATGTACCTCATACACAACTGACTGCATTAGCAAACCCATTTTATAATGGCTGAAGCTGGTCAAAATGGCTGAATTGGGCATCACTAAAGAAAGGTGTCATGCACACACAGTGAGTGCGTGAATGCCTCATAGTTTTCTAGGGAAACAAAAATGTTAGCATAGCTATACTGCCGACGCTGTATTGCAGTGGCATATTTACCTTGGTTATCAGTATTAGTGCAACGCGAGCGTTCTAGCTTATGTCGCCGACCTTGCCCTATGTACATTGTACAAACGTTTGTGTACACATTACTCCCTCCCATTTCATTACCACAACCCGCCACGCGAACTTCTGTATACATCCTGAGCAGGGAAATCTGCAGAGATGCCAGGGAAAGGTTTGTGTTTAAATTTATTTTCAGATATCTGTTGAGTATAAAGGACTGATGTGTATCTAATATGTTAATTGTAATGGTCAGCAAGTCTTAAGGTACATGTTAGAGCTATTTTTACCTGTCCTTTTCTGAAGAGCACCACTACGGGTGTATAACCTGACTAAAATGTCAGCCTTTGTAATGTTGATGTAGGTTAATGAACATGCATATACAACATATTTACATAATATAGAAAGCATTATTTAATTGGTGTTGTATATACTTATAGTCTTGAATTGTCTTATCTGTTTTAACGTAACTCAAACATTAACACGTACAAGTCTTCCAATGTCCCCGTCCCCGAATCCTTTCCTCAAACAAGCAAGGTTGGAATTTCATAGCGATATGTATGCCATCAGATTTCGGTCAAAGATAAAAGAATTACACGTGACGGCAAATACATGTGATATATTGATAAGCATGGTCCAAAATCAGCCTAGTGTTTGTGGTTGTTACCTGATAACCTAGTAAGATTAGATGTTGTAACTTGGACTGCGAAGGAAAGAGGTTACATACGGGATGTAAACAATAACAGTATATCTATAGTGGTGTCAAGATTTAAGAGCAGAGCAATAATTTGATAGACTCGGGCTTTATCATAGTAACAACCCACGAATATGGCACTTTGTGGAAGTTAAGTGTGTCATTAGAGAGAGAGAGAGAGAGAGAGAGAGAGAGAGAGAGAGAGATAAACATTTTGGTGTCATTGAACTGCCGAATGTGTTGACCTGACGAAAGTAGATTTATTCCAAAATTTCCCTATAGAAACAAAAGCGAGTGAAAACATGTGCTTTAAACAAATTATCTATCTACACATTCATATATATATATATATATATATATATCAATCATTTTAGATCCATATCTATAGATAGGATAGACAACTTTAAACGATGCTGATAACCCAGTGATTCTATACATAGAGCTTGAATCATAAATAAACTGTTCGACGGTGGAGGAACTTTGGACAGTGTTGGCTTTGTTGTATTGTCCTTTTCTGACCAGGCTCACATTGACCTCACTTTGCCCATTGTCAGTTAATACTAAGAGAAGACTTTGACAAACAATGATATTACTACACCCTTCACTTTAAGGTATAATTTATAGGCCTGTGTGAACTCGGCTTATAAAAATGTTTTTCTTATTCACCCTCCGGCATAAAGTGCACATATAACATACTGATCAGAAGGCCAATTAAAACGACAGATTGATGGAAAGGCTCCTGTACTGACGCACACTTTTCAAATTCCCAATGTAGATAAATTGTCTTATAAAGTACATCAGTTGATCTCATAGAATAGAAAAGGTATAAAATTTCCTGAAGTGGATGATGGGCACTGAAAGACAAGCTGACTATCCTTAGGTTTGACCATAGCTTAATTGGTATTAACCCGCACATATTCTGCCGCCTACTAAAGCCATATGTGCTCCCAGTACTGGCGTATGAACTGGATAGGTTCTGTCACCGATGCCTAAGTACATTAACGTATATACATTCTACCGATTTGGGCTAAGATAAACATGATAACACCATAGTTTACACAATAACATTTTATTCAATAATACAGCAAATATTAAGTATACATAAGTTACGTTTGGGTCAGGAAACCAGTATTATAGAGAATCTAGGCATTTTAGATTATGTCCCAGTTCTGTCTAAATTGGTGTAGTAGCAAAAACAGCTAGTCTGAGGACGCTAAGAGGCTAATAGCAATCTATAGCATCCTTTATGATAAGAGCAGAGACGATGGCACCGGCATCATTGGAATTTTCCCAGACAGATGCAACATGTTTCAATAATATTAGAAACTCCAAAATCCCCCGTCTAGCATTTTTGTTTTAAAAAACATTTTATTGCCGTTAAGCAAAAGGATTGGGCACAAGTTACAATAACATTATTAACGTCCTTTCCTTTAGGAGAAAAACAATTACATATATACATTTCAAGTGTCTAGCAATATCAACTGCACTCCATCCGGGGGCCTATAGGTGTCAAACTCAGCCTCTGAGAAACAATAGTGTTTCTTTATATAATGTGGAGCAGGAACTTCTTCTGATAGTGTGGACAACCACCCAGGTGGAAAACAACATCTGCAATATTCAGAGGAGGAAAATTCTTGATGCCTTTGTAATGTATACTGAAGAAGAGAAAACGGTCCATCTAGAACATCTATACCAGACTAGGAAGTCGTGTTTGTGAACGGAAAGTGATGTGATCCTTAAGTTATATTTTCAGACGTATAGGTCTCCAATTACATGTCCAATGGCTAAGAGAGGCGTTGAGTGGAATTTACATGGACTGTCCTAGTTTATCACATAAAGATGATCAATTTACGGATTCAACTGTTTTAGCGTTTGTAGTATTTCTTTCCATAGACTTTATTCTACATACAACAAGATACATTACTCAGTGAATAAAGAAATCTTTGCTTGCTTCTAGGATTACTCGTTGAATGAAATTATTTGCACAAAGACTTATAGAAGGACTTTTAGTGAGCCGGTAGCTTGAAATCTATCTAGGTTATTTAGGTTAACACCTGCACAGTAACTCTTGGGTTACACCGGACTACCTCAGTTACTTAGGTACAGAAATAGAGTAACATAATATTCTTCCTATTAATAAGAAATTTAAAGAGACTATATGAACAAGAAACTACGAAATGTTCGGAAGGAAATAGAAGTGAAGTTGGTTGTGTATCAGAATGCATCATCAGATCACACTGGATCAATGTAGCACAAGATTGTCGAAAAGAAACTTCACTATGCTCACTTTTTAAAAAAATCTTTTTCGAAAAGCATTTCAGCATGATTATAAAGCAATATTGTAGGTACTGTAACAAAACTGGCATCACACAACAAGCCGATGTTTAACATCTGATAATTCTTTCGTTGTTAAATCAGCATTTGGCGCGATATATTACAGAATAAAGATATACAGAATTCATTTATATTAAAATATACTGTAGTTTAGAGTTCAATGAATGAGGTTTGACATGAAAAACATGTTCAGATTTTTTACCATGTCTACTGATTATTTTGTTTGCAGGATTGCTTGAACGGCTTGAAAATGGCGGCAGTGTACTCATTGCGGAAGGATATTTGTGGGAATTCGAAAGAAGAGGCTATATACAACAGGGAGCACATGTACCGGAAGTTGTCTTAGAACACCCCGAATTGGTCAAGATTATGCACGAGGAGTTTGTTCATGCTGGGACTGACGTGTGCGAGGCATTCACTGTAGGTCAAATTGGCTGTATCTATTGCTCTGAATCGCCATTTTAGAATTTTAAAGTTCAATTTCCGTTATGTCTAGATTTCTTATCCTTTCCCGTAACTATAATCGTTCAATGGTTTAAAGAAAATAATTTATGAGGGGATATGACATAGGTGGAAATCCCTTTATATTTTGCAGTACTATGGTAATAGGGAAAAGCTCCGATTTATAGGACGGGAAGACGACCTAGAGAAACTCAACAGAATGGCCCTGAAGATGGCTCGGGAAGTAGCTGACAAGACGGGAACGCTAATGGCCGGCGGGATCTGTAACACAGGAGTTTATCAAGCAGACAAACCGGAGACACATCAGCAAGTGAAGGAGATGTACAAGGTAAACAAACAACAATTAGTGTTTTGTGTAGTGTAGGAAGTCGGCAAAGTCAGAGCAAGGCATAAGACTTAAATTATTTCAAATTTTCTGTTTAACACCTGTCATTACTCTAGATTAAATAATTACCTAAAGATGAAGTTATAGTGAATCATTCTGGTTCACATATTATTCAGGACAACGTGTACTTTATGTACGCTCTATATTGTTATTGGTGTATTAGTTGTGCATTTCGCCCGACATGATAAACAAATACAAAATTAATGGGCAATAAGAAGATTTAGTGCATAAGATTTTGATTGCGACATTTCTTTGTGTTGAGGTTCCCATATCATTTGGATCGGTCGAGTTTGCATTAGTTTTAACGACTTTTGATTCAAGGCTGCTTAAGCAGTCAAATTCAGTGTTCTGTTCAGGGTATTCACAAAAGAAACATGTTGTGGTTTGCGGTCATCCTGCTGATACAGTACCACGTTGGAAGATAAAATATTTACCTGTATAATACAAACTATAGGTCAGTACCGAAATAGGTAGTACAAAATATACATATGTTTGAGGATAAATAAAGAGAAAATCATATTTAACTTTAAAAAAAATTATTAAGATTGATTAAACATTTTATCATACAATCTTTTCTATTTTACACTTCTACATAAACATGTTTAAAGACAAATCGAAAATAGCTCCAGTAATGCTTGAATAAATTTCATTTTTTCCATTCATTCAAGACTTATTAAACTTTTTACGATCGATATTAATTTCGAGACTGATATTGAAGGTGAGGTGAGCTCGATCCCAATGTTACTATTAATCTAATGAAATCTAGCACTAATCACATAAAACGCTAGAGGGCGAATGACTGGTTGGTCGTCTACTGTGCTGTTATCGTTAAGTGTCGTCTATTTATGATAATATATGTATAACTATATATATATATATGTTCAATTACATATTAAACCGGGTAATTGTCGATTGGTACACAGGGCCTATATCTAACATGTTTGTTTGTAACTGATATTTGAATGCACAGAGTATATTCTAATGTGAATTCTCATATGTAATCTATTGTAGGAACAAGTAGAATGGGCAGTGGATGAGGGAGCTGACTACATGATAGCTGAGACTATAGACACCCTAGGAGAAGCCAAAATAGCTCTAGAGACCATTCAACAGTATGGAAAAGGTAACGGAGAAAATGATACTGCATTTGCATTCACCAAGTTCCATCAAGTCACTGTCGTTTGGGGCCTATACGTGTGTTTTGTGTATTAGCCACAATATTGCTAAACCTAAATACTTCAGATAGACCAATGCTGTAATTGAACGACCTGTATTGTAAGCTGGCTCAAGCTATTGGCTACAAGGCTCCCATTCTAACGATTATGATGATGTTGACATGTTGTTTATTTTTTGAGAATAGACAATGAACATTATTCGAAATAGGATATGATAAATCATATTATCACGAATTTGAACAAAATCAGCATCCGCCACAATGATTCTTTTAGAGTTTTTTTTTCAATGTCATCTTGTTTTACCTTTTACCTAGACTTCGAAGACGCAATAATGATATATTCTGGTTTATTCAATTACTACATTAATAAAGTAACTTTATTTTCTACATATATTTAAACGTACATGTTAACATTTCAACTTCACAACCTTTCATCTGTCAAAAAGGTTTATGTTATGTTTTCTATATATGTGAAAGTTATGCTAGTACAGCTTTTATAAATTCTAAAGCAGATCCTGTCTCTCTGTCTTAGGGATGCCAGCTGTTATGACTCTTGCCTGTTACGTCCCGGACGAGACGATAGACGAGGTACCAATAGTGGAGGCATGTCGTAAACTGGAGGAGATGGGAGCTGCTGTGGTTGGCCTTAACTGTGGGCGGGGCCCCAAAACCATGCTTCCACTTCTACGAGAGATCAGGAAAGTGTGTAAAGTAAGTAAAGGTGACGATAGGAGGCCAATTCGCAACGAGAAGCAGTGTGTGTTCTCGGCGGGATCTAGCACAGTGCTACTGTATGTGTGTGTAACTGGAATCGAGGGTAGACATCCCTTGAAAGAACAAACAAAATCAGTTTATCTGAATTTGTAATTTTGGTTACTTTCCCCAACGCCATGTCATTTTGTTTTTTTAGTATACTGGGAAAAATCTAGGATGTAAGAAGTGTATGAAAGGTGAAATCACATTGAGTTTCCATAATGGGGTATTGATCACATTATCATAAATAATGCAATGGAACAAATATCATATACATATAGTAAGAATGAAGAACCACATTGATATTATTTTTGTGGATTCGTTCTGGTTCTAAATGTTTACGTACGACATATCGGATATGCATACTAACGCTGTTGACGTTTCTTTTTGTTTTGGTACATGTCGTGGTATACTTTGTGTATGAGCATGAGTTCATTGTGAATAAAACTTTAACATGTATGTATTCAGTAAGTCAACTTTTTAAAATCTCAAACATGATATAATTTCTCGCCGTTTTTTGTGTTGTTGCCTCCATAGGGACCAATCGCAGCCCTGCCGGTTACGTATAGGACTCGTGATGGCTGCCGTAGTTTTCAGTCTCTCAAAGATCCCGACACAGGTAAAACAACAACAGCCTTAACGGCGAGTGTCTGTACAATTAGTACGGAACAAAGTGACACGAAAGTTTGGAAAATCTTGCGGATAAAAAGCAAGCATTTATTCCCGTGAAAAATACATGGTCGACATTATCTTTTCCGTAGATACTAACTCTTAATTTCAAATTTTAGTGATCACTATATTTACACATTGTATAATTTATATTAATAGTGTTCTTTTCTTATCAATATTTACATTTATATTTATTCAATCTATGACCTGAACTGAATTATTTGAAATTGGTTTTTTTTCTTGTCATCGGATTTATTTTTGATGTTATAGGTAAATATGCGTACCCGATCAATGTAGCGTCATGTCTGTGTAGTCGAGATGAAATCCGAGAGTTTGCAGAGGAAGCCAAAGCGATTGGAGTAAATTACATCGGGCTATGTTGTGGGAATGCACCAAATTACTTCCGAGAACTTGCGGAAGTATACGGACGAACCCCAGAGGCTTGTAGATATAGACCAAACATGTCTTTCAATTATATATTTGGAGACACTGAAAAGACGGATAAGTATGATTCGAAGAAGTTGAGACAGTACATGGTAACGGGAAAAGAATAAGAGAAGAATAATGACAGTGAGGAGAGGAGAGATCTTTTTTAAAAGTAAGATCGAGTGAGTGTATGATTTTTTAATGTTACGGATACCGTTGGTGAACATAGAAACAAGAACAGCTAAAACGTAATGTAATCTATGTTTATCTATATACAAATCAGGATTTTGAAAGTTGTTTACGTGCTTTGTTGTGTATATGTTAACTATGACCAATCCCATTTTTACGAGAGAAATGTTGATGACAAACGAGAAATCCGCCATAGCTTGAAATGAGCAATTTGTATATGACAACCTTGTGTATAATGTACGAGAATGATGTGTGACTCTAGAAACTAATGGTCAAGATGTATGTGTAAAATGGGACCAAACGGCAATAAACTTACCGTCGCAATCAAGATGACACCGGTGGTATTCTCAGGAAGTGATTACTCAGATAATTTGTTGAATGTCTTTTATCAATCAACGAAATAAATCTTATAATAAATTTGTGTTGTTAAACAACTCATTCTGTCGAAGACACGTCCATATATATAGTACACTTACGAACATGAAAATATTTTGCATAGATATAGATAAGTAAGTCTAATCGCTTCATTTCACGGAGAAGTAAGTGGGCCACGTGCTTTTGTTCTGGGTGAAAATATACAAGCGTTTTGTAACATTTCTGTACATGTCTACTGAACACGTGTTCAGCTGTTTTATTCGCCAAATAACATCAGTATAATTCAAACAGTCAAAACTGATCTCACAAAACACTTACAATCCTGAAACCATTATCAAAATTCATCCAATAGCTAATTTTCTCAGGTACATCCTAACATTCGTCTGCTCTGTTGGGTGGGTTGTTTTATGATATCAAATAATTTTCGTGAGTGGTAAGATATTTTACCTATCTCTTCAAATTATGGTGACTATTTCGGCCTTATCAACAACTCGTGTCACCAAAAGACTCCAAAATACTCCAGGCTTTCATGTCATAAAGACAGAGCTGATATCGAGAGGGCAATTCAAGGTTATGAAAACCAAATTTTCTTCCATAGATTTTACCTGCGAGTAATGTCACATATAGTATCACTCATAATTTCATAGGATTTGAGTACTTCATGACGATTTGCAATTTTGACACCATTAGAATTACATAGAAAAACACAGAGAGATATAATAGGTCTCACGATTAAAGGCAGTAGACTTAGAAATGAGACATAACGGACAATATATATTGTCTAGTCGTAGTGTATATACATATCCGAGGACTACATATGTGTATATGTTTCTAAAGATTATAGAAGTAGTATCTAAGTGTAAATACTACATGATTAGCACAAATGTGTAACTATCATGTTCAAAGTTCATATGTAGAAATAACAAATAGAACACACAAGGATAGGATGCTAACTATAAAAGATGTAGCAAATTAGCATTTTTTTCTATTTTGATACCTTTTTTTAACGAAAATTATGTCACAGAATTAGTTCTGGTTTTAATACTATTTGATCATTATTTTAAGTCCTTATCAAAAGTTTTAAAAAATAAAACCAATCACATTTTATCAGGACACGGCAGAAAAAAACTACCACTGTGACCTAGGAAGTGATGCATTTTCACAAAGCGACGACAGTTCCAGATACGGAAATGCCTTCTTTAGTTCTGTAATGTATATCACAATGCACACACACAATCAAACAGTAATGTATCTATACAGATAGTGGAAAGCACTACATGATATCAACGAAAAACTTCGTCAAGGTTTATATAGACTCATTTTCCTGCTAGAAGCCCATGCTTTTGACCATATGACGCTTTTCTAAAAGACCTAGAAAGACGAAACATCTGCATGACAAAAGCAAACATTTTCTAGGGGGATGAGAATTTGAAGTAAAATGACACACTTGGTGCAAGCTCTTGTGCCAGGTTTAGGAACAACATATCAGGCAATCTTCCTCACCTGGCCGTTTGTGTGTCGCTCCCTGAGCATCAATTACGCATGTTGACACAACGGGATGGCTGTAACAGCTGGCCTCGCCATCAAACAGGCAGTGTAACCAGCTAGTAGACTCCTAGGCGAGGGACAACATATATATCATAATGATTCAAATTTGATTACCGACAAAATCTCTCGATAAATGTTGATCAAATATATTATATGTGTTTCATTACATTTGTCAAGAACTGCAGCATTGTATCGAGAACTGGAACCCATGTATTCAGTACATAGGGCATGTCACTAGGACCTGAATCAGGATCAGCACATGTAACCATGTGATCAATAAATTGCTGTTTTTTGTTCTTTGTGATTCTTTAAACCTCTTTCAGCCAACTATTTACCAAAGGTGATACTGATGTTCTATGGATATTACCAACGGATATGTCATTGATTATGAAATTTTCACATATTCATTTGTCATATAAAAACACATCACTGTGGAAAGATATTATTATCAAAATATTTTGCTGTTTTTAAACATTTGTGTTGTATATTCCGCTTAAAACTAATGATATATCGGTATAATTAATTTTAATTGTTTGCACGCAAAATGTAGCTTTCTGTTTCGTCGACTCCTTCTTTCCATTTCTCGATGGAAAAGAAATCTAGTTCCTCCCACCTGATAATGATTTGAGGAGACAATGGCAACACGCCGGCTTGAAGTCGGTCTCTTGTTATGTTACTTTATTTATCCTATTATTCTTGCTATTTTTCTGGTTTTTTTTTTAATGTGACGGGCCCACTCATAATTTCAGTGGACTGAAAGTGGTGCGAATTAGCTAACAATGATGTCACGTCATGTCACGCCAGCTGTTCATAATCCTTTCTCTAGATTATAGAATTTTTACATCTACATGTATGTGTAATTTTTATTTTTGAAACACTTCTAAAGAATTAATCGTTAGCTTTGAAAGGAATATTCTTTTGGTTTCATGCTAGCATGAAACTAAAAGTATCCTATCAAAGCGGGTTTCACGCGGGGCATATCGTTACGATATTAAGCCAACGTAAAACATCAATCATGATGCATAACACCTTGCTTGATAGTGTGTTTGTCAAAGCACATGATTACGCATATAATTAGGTACATCGAATATGTGTACTTTGGATCCTCTCTGGTGACAGGGATAGGTTGATTTATATCAAACTCTGGAAATGCCTTTCAAAATCTCTAAGCGGGTCATCTAGGTCGTATGGAGAAAAAAATATTTAAGGACAAAATGACAATGCATCGTCAAAAAGATAGACGATGGATAACGTCATCAAACCAATGTAAACAAACACACACATAGCTTAGAATTTCATTAGCTTAGATTTTAATGAAATATTGTTAATAAAATTTTTCAACTCTTTTGGAGCAAACCATCAAACTGTTAAAGGTATGGTGTAAATAATCATTTTTATACTGAATGCTGTATGTGACCCAGGGGAGATAACTCTACCAGGTATATAGGTGTCTTGTCACTTGACCAACATTCTGAATTTTGAGGTATACATGTAAGGTATTTTGTTGGCCAAGTGAAACTAGGAGTGACAGGTAGAACAATAGGAGATAATTACAGGTGTTTCGTAAAACTTCCAACTTTTATGAAAATGCCATCATGACATATTGAGAGAAACAGCTCTAGATTTTTATGTATTACATGTATTTTTATTCACATAAAACACATTTTCAGTATAAATACATAAATTGACCAGATTTTTAATTTAGCTATTATTTTTCAATTATTTAAATTAAAGAAAAATGAATATGAGAAAGGACACATAACCGCTATAAGCCATATCTAAGAAAGAAAGCATAAAGGTAGCAGATTTTTAATATATATAGCCACTATTTTTCAATTCTGTCAATCATAGAAAGACGATATAAGAAATAAGAATAAGACATAAGAAAAGACAATAAGGTAACTAGATTTTCAACGCCTTTTTAAATAATGCTACATAATGTTTATACATTGTATTTGTAAATTCATGCATCCTCATTGCACGAAGTAAAATTATTTAATAGAATCAACAATAAAAAGTTTATATAATCGATACTTGCTCAAATATTAGAGAGAGAAAAATAACATTTCATTCAAGTTCACCACTATTATAAGGGTACCAGCAAGCAGCACTAATTATATAAGTTATACACATAGGGGAACATAGTCGAACCAACACATTCGTGAATCGACTACAACTGGCTAAATACTCCAGGGCAAGAATAAAATGCTCCTTCTCCAAACACGATGGAATAATCACACAGTTTACACAAATTGTCATCAGCACCAAAAATTATGATTGTATGTCCATTATTATCGGTATCATCACAGAGTAAAAATCACCTACTAGTGTTTCCGTCCAGGCACCCTACAAGTCTACTTCTTGTTGTGTAGAAGGAAGTTTTGGTGAGGTCTTGGAACGGGCTCAGTAGAGGGATTCTTTACAGCTCTCAAATGTAGGAATTTTCTATATAATCTCTCCAACATCACCATCAAACTCTCCATCACGGAGTTGTTTAATGCCTCGTCAAAATTAGTTGAAATAACACAGACTTCTTTACTGCAACGTTGCTTTACTTAATTAAGAAATGTCCGCTGCTAATTTGATAGTATTTCCGGGGATGGTTATGATTACGTTAAGAGGATTGCTATAAACATGAATTCCTTTACGTCAGCTGAATGACGCATTGTTTTTTTTTCAGTTCTAATTCGTAACCAATTGGTGTAGCTCTTTCAATATACATGTTCCTCGGTGTGTCAACCATTAATACAATATTCACAACTGGAGAAGGGCCTGTGTTAATTTACCCGTTTTTCAATAATTGGCGATGTACCCAAGTGTAGTAAAGCTGATCTAAATCTAGAAGAGGCGTTTGAAGGAATTGATGCTATACTAACGGCCCACCCTTTTATCTTTGCCTGACAAAAACCAACTGTCTCCATGACACCAAATTAATCTTCAAGAAATTGTCAATTTTAATTGAATTGTAGCGAATTATGTTTATTTCATATCGATAAAGAACTCATATTACGGCATATGTTGCATTGCTCTACAACAGACAACATGATTTAATGTAAAAGATTTTGGGGTAACTAAAGGAAAGCTGTATAGATCGTGACACAATGGAAGACTATAGAGTAATTATTAACTGAGCTTAATTATACCAGGCTTTGATACCATTAATCATAGTGTACCGATTACTTATAAGGGCCAGGGCGTTCATACCTCCTCCTATCCCTGGGAGGGTCTCGACACCCTAGACCGCTGCCCCTGATATAGGTGTAGGAAGAAATTCTTCCTATCTAGGTAAAAAAAGCTACACGGGCTGGATGTCACGTGTTTCTAAACAGTTAATTACTATATTTAGGTTGTGTTGTATATCAGAATAGGTTGAAAATGATGGTATTTTGTACAAAGTTTACCCCCGACCTTCCAGGAAAGGTAAATCATTAGATATTATAAATAATACCCATAATTCAACTTAATCCATGACGCCGAAAATCAAACAGAAAGAGTCCAATAAAAATGAAAAGGTATGGTTCTCTCAGTGTTTGTTGTGATACAGGTAATATTAACGGCAATAAATTATAAACTTATAGATCATTTTTAAAAGATTTATAGCCGAGACATTACGTTACAGTTTAAGGCTTAGATCACGCCGAAGCGTATTAGATACGTTGAGAGTCGACAGCTTACCGCTGCTAATAGAGACGGATACACGTCCTGTCACTCCATTAAACGACACATTGTAAATTATTTTGTAATGTTAAAATTGAGAATGAAATCCACTTTTTATGTGAATAAGACTTATACTCCGATCTTAGAATCCAATCTGATCTTAGATCAATATTTTATTACTATGAATCCTAACGAACAATTTATTTTCATCATGAATGAAGAGTTTACGATCTCGCTAAGCGATGATAGCATTCCTCTTTATGAAGAGAAAGCGTGATAGCATCTAAAACTTTTGATTTCTTTAAGTGTTAATCTTTTTATGACTATGTACCAAAGTTCTTATTATTGCGTCTGATGGGCAACATTTCGCACCGTTCACTATCCTTCAGTTGTTCAGGTTTTAGTAAATATAATTCATGTATTTTCTATGACATTTGATGTAATTGCTAGGTCATAAAGATTCCGATGATGGGGGTTAGGCGACATTTTTAACAAGTTTGAATTTTGTTGTCTCATAAGTCAAATTAAGGCTGGGCATATTTGTATGTGTGTTTTATTCATGATATAAACGGTGATGGAAAATATGTGTTATACTTTAATTATTTATTATTATTTTATTATTATTATTACTATTATTATTATTATTATTATCATTATGTCATCTCTATGTCAAGTGATGAAGTCTATGTGTGAATTTTATATTTTTACATATTCTGAATAATTTAATAGTTTCTTAAAGTATGTGTTATAATCCCATTAGCCTTAAATCTGTTCCATTTGAACAGGATATCCAGGAAGGTACTACTTTTATGTTTGATTTGAAGATAATATCAACTTAAAGAGTATAGATGATATATTCAAAGATTTCCAATGGTATGTTTTATCAGGAGATAATCATTTTCCTGGTTGTGTTTTACAAGGAGAAAACATTAATCCATAGTTATAAATATATGACATACCAGTAATTATAAGCATTTTAAAAATAACTTCTGATCATATTCCATGTTTTTGTTGTCAGTAACGTTTCGGTGGTCCATTGAATACATGTTTATACATATATACCTTGTAGGAAACCATAAGAGCCTGTAAGGACCTGTAAGGGTCTGTAAGGGCCTGTAAAGGCCTGTAAGGGTCTGTAAGGGCATGTAAGTGCCTCTCTTACATGTATGTGCCTCTCTTACATGTATTTGGTGAAGGTGGACAGGACATTCGTCTATTGCTCTAAAGAGGGAGATTATGAATCGGTGTAAAATCAGCGGTCTAATTAATGCAGAATTTAACACTATTTTAGGAATTTCGGGACATCTACGAACTTTTCATGGTACGTACACTATATTTCACGCAACTCGTCAATAATGCTCTCTAGATAGAAAGATACTGTCCATCAACTTTGGCGACCGTCTCATTTGGGTGAAATGCTGGATCTTCCCGTAGATAAATAATCAAAAAATGAAATTTTGTGCAATATTTTTGTTCAAACAGACCAGTATACGCTATTCATTTTTAATCAATTGTGGTGACTGATGTGAAAGTGAAAGTAGACAATTCGTTCGGAAATTCTCGTGTATTTAGCCTTATTCCGAATGGCTGGTAGCAGAAAATGGCAGAGCTGAAGAAAATAGCTTGTGATCATATTGATCAGCTGACAACTGTTCTTGGTTCTTTAAGTCAGGATATTTGGGACCATCCCGAATTAGGCTATAAAGAATACCATGCACATGATGTTATTTCAAATTTTCTAGAGGAACGAGGATTTGAAGTAACAAGAAAATACATACTTGATACAAGTTTTTGTGCCAGGTTTGGGCATAACATACCAGACAACGAAAATCTTCCTCACCTGGCAGTTTTGTGTGAATATGATGCACTTCCAGGCATCGGTCACGCATGTGGACACAACTTGATAGCAGAAGTGGGCGTGGCAACTGGTCTAGCCATCAAACAGGCACTAGAATCAGCTGGCAAACCTCTAGGCAAGGTACCCTTGAGTAAATGTTGATTGTTACTGTCTTGTATAGATAACCCCTTGAGGGGAGCACCCTTCTCACGTCACCAGAGAATCGACTTCAGTCGATTTGACAATGCACAGCAATGGGAATAGTCATGGAGACGAGACACTATCATCATCATCGTCGTCATAATTATGCTGTATTGTAGTGCATGCCTATTGCTATGTTACAGAAATCGACCAAACCTGTCTATAAAGGCCACTCAAGGAACAGAATAATATACTTTGCATCGTTATTCTGTATTACATGGCATCCCGTCCTGGTGGCCTTTATAGACAGGAATTTGTTACACAGACTACCTTATACATGTACATATGTAGACTGAATTGTATCTATATATTAAGTTACTCTAGTATATAACTGATATTAGTACATACATTTATGTGTATAGCGGTAGAGTAAAACAATTAAATTGGCTTTTAATTTTGTGTAAGTGTTTCTAATACCTACAAATTTCAATATTGACATTCATAGATGTAACATTCTATGAATGTAACCCCTTAGGGGACTAATGAGCATGAAATATTACCACAAGTTGCATTGAAAAGATATGTTCATATCATTTATACATATTGATGGTGAAAAATTTAGACAATGAACAAAATGTGGGAAAAGTTACATATTTACATTGCTAAAAGATATTTCATATCTGTGAGGGTTACATTCAGAACACAAAGTATGGCAAGCCTTTAGAATAGCCCAACTACATCTGTGCATGTCATAGCATAATCAGAGCACTAGCAGATAGTATATAATGTCTTTACGGATTGTAATTATGTAGTGAAGAGCATTGTATTCATTGACCTTACATAGTTAATTCAAAAGTGAATGTACATATTATAAACAGATTACTGAATGAAATGCATCAACACAGGGTACAATGTATTTAAAATTAAGTACATGATTATGCATACAATATACATACATTGAACATGGTAAACTTTTTATTTGCTGGAATTATATTGAGAAGTGTGTTAAAATCAAAACTTGCAAAGTCTTATTCTTAAAAAAAGAAAATAGAAGCCAAAGAAAAGGATATAAAAAAAAACAGTTTTTTTTAAGGCCTTTCGATACAAAATAGGTTATCAGAGCAAACAAATGGTAAGTAATAAGCTATTAAGAGTGTGTAACACAAAAAAAATATCCAAAGAGAAAGAAGATAGATGAATGTAAAAATGATAGATGAACAGATGTAAATACATTTAAAGCTAAAGTATAATAATGGATAGAGATTTTTTTCTTGTGGTACAGACAAACAACATTTGGATACTCTAGAATTTGGTGTGGTATATGTAAGCCAGGGGAGATAAATCTTCCAGGTATAAACATCTACATGATGATTTTACCTGAGTTAAACATGGCAACAATGTTTTTATTAGCATTACATAGTATGCCTAAGCAATTAATAGGGTTCTTCACATTAAATCATATCTATTGACCCAGGAGTGAACATTAAAGTATGTTTTTTCCACTTTAACTAAATGCATTTGGAGGAAAGCCCAGCAAACTGGACTTCAGCAACTTTTCAGAGAGAACGACGACATCAATTGACCAGTTCACCTGGCTGCTGTGCTGCCTTTGGTACCACTGGAAAGAGTTGAGGATGTTTGGTTCAACGTGCTGGAGGAACTGGAAGATGTGGACTTACCCGTGGACACTCCGCCCTTTACAGACTATGTCGTTACACAGTGGATTGAGGGAGACCGCTGTATCTGGAACCAATTCACCACAGATGGACCTAGCACCACCAACCATCTAGAAGCCTGGCATGGAAAGGTGAAGAAGAAGGTACACCACTTACACCCCAACATATACACCATCATCAAAGTGTTCCAGGACATTCAAGCCACCATCGAAATCAACAGGATACAGCGTGATGCAGGAGGAGCAACAAGACCACGTGCGAAGAGATATCGAAGCATTGACAACAGACTGGCCAAACATAAGGAGCGATTCCAGACTCAGAGGATCAACATCATGGAGTATGCCAATGCAACATCACATCTTCTACACCTGGGATGAATTCCTCAGTTTTATAATGTGCAATGTGCTGGCCTGATAATAATGAGCAATGTGCTGGACTGTCAAACATCCTTTAGAATACTATGTTTTATTTTATTTGTATGTATGTAATGTGTAGTGACAAACGTTCTACTTTTTGTATGTTTAATTGTATTTATATGTATAAGAAATGATAAACTTTCTGCTTTGGTATTATGATAAAATAAATGAAACAAAATAAAATGTAATGAAATGTGCTTAGTGTAGACTACAGGTAGAATCTCAGGTAATAGCTCACACAGGTGGAAACACAGGTAAATGAACTTAGGTGAAATCTATAGTTAACCTGAAACTGAATGTAATTGGTTTTCTATCATCTTCCTGTTTAGTGGGCAAATCGGGAACACCCCGTCAAGGTAACTCAGGTGAAATTGTTAAATGTTAAAAATGGGATAGGTACTCAAAAGAATTGGACATGGATTGAGGTGATTTGTCTTCAAAAGGTGAAAAAATGTGGCATGTACAGAACATGTTTTTCTTTTGTAATCAAAGTAATTGTAAACTTGCAGGTGGTACAACTAGTTTTAATGGTGTCCATGTGGAGGAGTTCATACAATGTTCTGTGTATTCAGTGACAGATACTTAAATGTGCATTTGTTGCCAATGCTATTAACTAGAACTCTAGTGGAGGGTCTCCGGCTTATTGTATATACCTTGGGAAATAGACCTGTCTCTGGAAACCAGATATAGATCTTCCTTAAACTATCTTATTACACTGATACAAACCAGAGATATATATATTTGTAAAATATAGGCTATGGTAGAAGTGCATTAGTAACAATAGATCTGCCTGATTCTTGTGAGGTATGCACATTGTCAATGTGTACCATATTAAGCTCTGCCCACTTTTCACTTGATTAGCTTGAGGGAAGCACCTGAATGCAGTGCCACATGTTTTAGTTGTGCAGTTCCAAAACTAAAACAAAACTGAGTTAATTCAACTAGAGATTAACCATTTGCTTTTATATTTATAGAGAAATTAGCATTGATTAGCTTGATGTAAACACGCAAGTGCAGTGTGTGATTTAGTTGTGCAGATGTGTTTTAGTTCCCAGACTAAAACACAGTTGAGTCAATATAACTGGGAATTAATCAGTTACAATTATATAGAGTAATTAGTATAGATTAGCATGATGGAAATAAACAAGTGCAGTGTGTTAATCAGTTGTGCAGGGGTGATTTAGTTGTGCAGGTGTGTGATTTAATTGTGCAGGTGTGATGTAGTTGTGCAGGTGTGATTTAGTTGTGCAGGTGTGATGTAGTTGTGCAGTGTGTGATGTAGTTGTGCAGGTGCGATATAGTTGTGCAGGTGTGATTTAGTTGTGCAGGTGTGATGTAGTTGTGCAGTGTGTGATTTAGTTGGGTAGGTGCAATATAGTTGTGCAGGTGTGATGTAGTTGTGTGGGTGTGATGCAGTTATGCAGGTGTGATTTAGTTGTGCAGGTGTGATGTAGTTGTGCAGGTGCGATATAGTTGTGCAGGTGTGATTTAGTTGTGCAGGTGTGATGTAGTTGTGCAGTGTGTGATGTAGTTGTGCAGGTGGGATTTAGTTGGGTAGGTGCAATATAGTTGTGCAGGTGTGATGTAGTTGTGTGGGTGTGATTATAGTTGTGCAGGTGCGATATAGTTGTGCAGGTGTGATGTAGTTGTGCAGTGTGTGATGTAGTTGTGCAGGTGGGATTTAGTTGGGTAGGTGCAATATAGTTGTGCAGGTGTGATGTAGTTGTGTGGGTGTGATTTTGTTGTGTACGGGTGATATAGTTGTGCAAGTGTGATGTAGTTGTGCAGGTGGGATTTAGTTGGGTAGGTGCAATATAGTTGTGCAGGTGTGATGTAGTTGTGTGGGTGTGATTTTGTTGTGTACGTGTGATATAGTTGTGCAGTGTGTGATTTAGTTGTGCAGGTGTGATTAAGTTGTGCAGGTGTGATTTAGTTGTGCAGGTGTGATGTAGTTGTGCAGGTGTGATGTAGTTGTGCAGGTGCGATATAGTTGTGCAGGTGTGATGTAGTTGTGCAGGTGGGATTTAGTTGTGTAGGTGCAATATAGTTGTGCAGGTGTGATGTAGTTGTGTGGGTGTGATTTTGTTGTGTACGTGTGATATAGTTGTGCAAGTGTGATTTAGTTGTGCAGGTGTGATTTAGTTGTGCAGTGTGTGATTTAGTTGTGCAGGTGGGATTTAGTTGGGTAGGTGCAATATAGTTGTGCAGGTGTGATGTAGTTGTGTGGGTGTGATTATAGTTGTGCAGGTGCGATATAGTTGTGCAGGTGTGATGTAGTTGTGCAGTGTGTGATGTAGTTGTGCAGGTGCGATATAGTTGTGCAGGTGTGATGTAGTTGTGCAGTGTGTGATTTAGTTGTGCAGGTGTGATTTAGTTGGGTAAGTGCAATATAGTTGTGCAGGTGTGATTTAGTTGGGTAGGTGCAATATAGTTGTGCAGGTGCGATATAGTTGTGCAGGTGTGATGTAGTTGTGCAGTGTGTGATGTAGTTGTGCAGGTGGGATTTAGTTGGGTAGGTGCAATATAGTTGTGCAGGTGTGATGTAGTTGTGTGGGTGTGATTTTGTTGTGTACGGGTGATATAGTTGTGCAAGTGTGATGTAGTTGTGCAGGTGGGATTTAGTTGGGTAGGTGCAATATAGTTGTGCAGGTGTGATGTAGTTGTGTGGGTGTGATTTTGTTGTGTACGTGTGATATAGTTGTGCAGTGTGTGATTTAGTTGTGCAGGTGTGATTAAGTTGTGCAGGTGTGATTTAGTTGTGCAGGTGTGATGTAGTTGTGCAGGTGTGATGTAGTTGTGCAGGTGCGATATAGTTGTGCAGGTGTGATGTAGTTGTGCAGGTGGGATTTAGTTGTGTAGGTGCAATATAGTTGTGCAGGTGTGATGTAGTTGTGTGGGTGTGATTTTGTTGTGTACGTGTGATATAGTTGTGCAAGTGTGATTTAGTTGTGCAGGTGTGATTTAGTTGTGCAGTGTGTGATTTAGTTGTGCAGGTGGGATTTAGTTGGGTAGGTGCAATATAGTTGTGCAGGTGTGATGTAGTTGTGTGGGTGTGATTATAGTTGTGCAGGTGCGATATAGTTGTGCAGGTGTGATGTAGTTGTGCAGTGTGTGATGTAGTTGTGCAGGTGCGATATAGTTGTGCAGGTGTGATGTAGTTGTGCAGTGTGTGATTTAGTTGTGCAGGTGTGATTTAGTTGGGTAAGTGCAATATAGTTGTGCAGGTGTGATTTAGTTGGGTAGGTGCAATATAGTTGTGCAGGTGCGATATAGTTGTGCAGTGTGTGATTTAGTTGTGCAGGAGTGATTTAGTTGTGCAGTGTGTGATTTAGTTGTGCAGGCGTGTTTTAGTTCCCAGACTAAAACACAGTTGAGTCAATGTAACTGGGAATTAATCAGTTACAATTATATAGAGTAATTAGTATGGATTAGCATGATGGAAATACACAAGTGCAGGTGCGATTTAGTTGTGCAGGTGCATGATTTAATTGTGCAGGTGTGATGTAGTTGTGCAGGTGTGATTTAGTTGTGCAGGTGTGATTTAGTTGTGCAGGTGTGATGTAGTTGTGCAGGTGCGATATAGTTGTGCAGGTGCGATATAGTTGTGCAGGTGTGATGTAGTTGTGCAGTGTGTGATGTAGTTGTGTGGGTGTGATTTTGTTGTGTACGTGTGATATAGTTGTGCAAGTGTGATTTAGTTGTGCAGGGGGGATTTAGTTGTGCAGTGTGTGATTTAGTTGTACAGGTGCATGATTTAATTGTGCAGGTGTGATAGGTGTGATTTAGTTGTGCAGGTGTGATTTAGTTGTGCAGGTGTGATGTAGTTGTGCAGGTGCGATAGTTGTGCAGGTGCGGTATAGTTGTGCAGGTGTGATGTAGGTGTGCAGTGTGTAATGTAGTTGTGCAGGTGGGATTTAGTTGGGTAGGTGCAATATAGTTGTGCAGGTGTGATGTAGTTGTGTGGGTGTGATTTTGTTGTGTACGTGTGATATAGTTGTGCAAGTGTGATTTAGTTGTGCAGGGGGGGATTTAGTTGTGCAGTGTGTGATTTAGTTGTACAGGTGTGATTTAGTTGTGCAGGTGTGATTAAGTTGTGCAGGTGTGATGTAGTTGTGCAGTGTGTGATGTAGTTGTGCAGGTGCGATATAGTTGTGCAGGTGGGATGTAGTTGTGCAGTGTGTGATTTAGTTGTGCAGGTGTGATTTAGTTGGGTAAGTGCAATATAGTTGTGCAGGTGTGATTTAGTTGGGTAGGTGCAATATAGTTGTGCAGGTGTGATGTAGTTGTGCAGTGTGTGATTTAATTGTGCAGGAGTGATTTAGTTGTGCAGTGTGTGATTTAGTTGTGCAGGTGTGTTTTAGTTCCCAGACTAAAACACAGTTGAGTCAATGTAACTGGGAATTAATCAGTTACAATTATATAGAGTAATTAGTATGGATTAGCATGATGGAAATACACAAGTGCAGGTGCGATTTAGTTGTGCAGGTGCGTGATTTAATTGTGCAGGTGTGATGTAGTTGTGCAGGTGTGATGTAGTTGTGCAGTGTGTGATGTAATTGTGCAGGTGCGATATAGTTGTGCAGGTGTGATTTAGTTGTGCAGGTGTGATGTAGTTGTGCAGTGTGTGATTTAGTTGTGATTTAGTTGGGTAGGTGCAATATAGTTGTGCAGGTGTGATGTAGTTGTGTGGGTGTGATGTAGTTATGCAGGTGTGATTTATTTGTGCAGGTGTGATGTAGTTGTGCAGTGTGTGATGTAGTTGTGCAGGTGCGATATAGTTGTTCAGGTGTGATTTAGTTGTGCAGGTGTGATGTAGTTGTGCAGTGTGTGATTTAGTTGTGCAGGTGTGATTTAGTTGTGCAGTGTGTGATTTAGTTGTGCAGGTGTGATTTAGTTGTGCAGTGTGTGATTTAGTTGTGCAGGTGTGATTTAGTTGTGCAGGTGTGATTTAGTTGTGCAGTGTGTGATTTAGTTGTGCAGGTGTGATGTAGATGTGCAGGTGTGATGTAGATGTGCAGGTGTGATGTAGTTCTGCGGGTGGTTCCCAGACTATAACACAGTTTAGTTAATTCAGCTTGGGATTATGCAGCAGCTTTTATATAGAGAAATTAGCTGATCTGTTTGATGGAAACACTTGAGTGCAGTATGTGATTAGTTTGGCAGTTTTGTTTTAGTTCCCAAACAAAAACCCAGCAGAGTTAAGTCAATGTTACTAGGGATTAACCAGTTATTTTTATTTAGAGAAATTAGCTGATTAATTAGCTTGATGAAAACACCTAAGTGTAGTGTGTCATTTTTTGAGTGTATTCAGGAGTCGCCAGACTATTACACAGCTTAAAAAAGTCAATGAAGGATAAATCAGATACTTTTACATAGAGCAATTAGAAGTAAGTAGAAGTTTATAAATAATTGATAATCTATTTTATTGTTTGTACTTTACAATTGTGTATTGTTCCCAGTCGGCAGAGGAGAACTGTTGTACATCACATACAATTTACTGTATTGCCATAACTAACTCCAAACAGGAGGAAGGCTTGTCAAGAAATATATAATACTTTTATTTATAGCTGACAGTGCTTGGTACCCCAGCAGAGGAGGGTTTGTGTGGTAAAGCTGATTTGATTAAAAGTGGGGCATTTGAAGGAGTCGATGCTGCAATGATGGCCCATCCCTCCCAGTTTACTTTGTCGAAACCCAACTATGTTTCTATGACCCCGTAAGTTTTTAATATTGAGCAACTGAACTTCTTGTATTTTTTTCTTAATAAGAATTCAAATGTTTTGATATACCCAACATGAATAATTGAAAATGACTGACATTTTGTTCAGTAAAGCTTTTTGATTATTAGTCAATGTTGCACGGCTCTGCAAAAGATAACTTGATCGGATAAAAAGTATTAGAAATCAATAATGATTACCAGGTTTTGATACCATTTATCTTACCGGATAGTGTGACAATAACCTACAAGGGCAAGGCCGCTCATGCCTCCTCCTACCCCTGGGAGGGTCTCAACGCTCTAGACGCTGCTGTCCTCTGCTACAACAATATCTCATGTCTACGTCAACAGATGAAACCAACATGGCGCGTTCATGGTAACATGTCTGCTCTTGTTGCTTTCTATGTAACTTTGTGCTCTAAATGTATTGATTTGTTTATGTATTGAAATGATTCATCATAAAGTACATTGTACCAAGCAATATTGTTTTCACAGCATACATGGTAACTTCCTTGTACAAGGCTTATGAATAGTGATAGGAATATTAGAAAACATATAGAAAAACCAAAACTGAAACTGTAAGTTTGTGATAAAGGGTATAGTGTATGAATAAACAGGCAAAGTGGACCTTCAAATATATATGTTTGTTGTTGAAAAGGCATAATTCTCTACTGGCTGAGAAAAAAGACTGTTGTTCAAAATAATTAACATTTCCTAATTGGAATTCTATTTTGCTTAATTTAAATTCTGCCAAAAAATAGTTTTTTATTTTGTTCATTATTTTATTCATGGTAGGATTGTTGTTTAAAGAATGGATATGATACTAAACAGGACTGGAATTCAACCAATGATAATAATCGATTTACAATTAGATATTTTGATGTCCAACAGCAATATAATCTGTTAAGTAAACCTGAAAACATGAACAGTCTCTTGTACATTGTTTGTCTCCTGTGAAACTTCATGATTTACACTATCACATTATGTTGTTGATGTGTGGTTTACTTTTTGTCATGTCCCATTTCTGTCATACTCTTTATAGGGGTGATAAGTAAGGGAGGTCTCCAGCCAAATATCATTCCAGAGGAAACAGAGCTACAGTATTATCTCCGCACTCCAACAGAGCCAGAACTCAAGGTCCTCATGTCAAAGGTCAACAACTGTATCCAAGCTGCTGCCTTAGCAACAGGCTGTGATGTAAGCTTTCACTTGTGATGCTTTGTTTCTTTCTCTGTGTCCTTTACCTATGTTTTTGTTTTTCTTCGTTGTTAATGTTAGTTGTGCATGATAAATCTGAGTCCACACTTTGGTGCATCAATCAAAGAGTTTTCTATGCACATTGATTGGGGTTTTAGGTACATGACTTCACACTTCTATGAATTAGTAAATGCCCTGGGAACATTGATTAGCGTATTGGGTACACAACTCAACACTTCTTTTAATCAGTGAGTGTCTTGGGTACCTGACTCAGCATTTCTGTAAATAAGTGAATGTTTTTGGTACATGGTTAAACTCTTCTGTTAATCAGTTAGAGTTTTGTGTATTTTCTTAACCTTAAAATTCCATATCCCTTACATTGAGATGTAAATTTTGATTTCCATTAATTAGAACTATACATATGTGCATTTGTATAATACTTTTATAGCCTATTCTATTTATTTTACCATAAGCTCCTCTATGTATATTGATATTCAAATGAATTACCAAGTGATTCTCTTTCATTGTCCTGTAATAATTCCACCCCTTGACTATGAGTAAAAGTTTATGTAACCAGGTGTGACAAACAGGTGTGAACTAAGTTATGTCTTTAACATGGTTTGCTGTTTCAACTATAAAGTATCTATAAAAAAAATTGTGAAAGTTTTGAATTCATTATCATAACATGACAATTAAACTTCATATAGCAGTTCAATGGGTTGGTCCTCTGAGCTATCAAGAGAACAGGTATGGCTGATATTATATGTCTGCTTGAAATGGAAAAAAAGTTTGACTATTTCTTTTTGAAAATATCATAAAAGTCAAGAATATATTTATTTATATGTTCACATGGTGTACTGAATGCTGCAATAGGAATTTTGTTATCTTCACTTAGATTTGGTTTAAAACTTATCTAAATACTTGTCATTTTATCATTCCAGACAGAATATAAATATTCAGAAAAGCATTACTTTTCCTTGCTGTCCAATGCGACAATGGCTGCTACCTTTGAAGAGAATGCCAAGTCAGTTGGGGTAGAATTTGAACAGAAGCAAGAGCTTATCAGAAAGTTTGGGGGGTCAACAGACATGGGGAATGTATCACACATAGTGCCTAGTATCCACCCTAAGTTCTTCATAGGAACCACAGCTAGTAACCATTCAAAAGCCTTCACAAAAGCATCAGGTAGGTATAGCAATTTTCTAACAATATTTAATTTTGATATATTAACTGTAAACTAAACATATATTATATCATTCACGTATATGTATTGTTTGTTGATGACATCATAACTTCTATTAATAATATAAACCTCCTGACGGAGTAAGAGAGAACCAACATCCTGATTGTCTTCGGCCGTAAATCTGGGCCCATATTCATGAAACCATTCTCATACTCAAGCATAGATTTTGTGCTCAAAATTTTTTATAATTCACCTTAATCATATAAAATAATACAAATGTCAAATTTAAACCTTGAATACAGGTTTTGACTTGAAGTCCTTTCAGAATTGTTTTATAAATCTTCGGCAAAATCAGCCTTATTTATTAGTTTTTAACTTAAACAAGACATGAGGGTTGAGCACACAGTTCATGCTTGAGCATGAGAACGGTTTCATGAATATGGGCCCGGGTGTTGTAGGAATCAAAGATGGATACCCGACAGTAATAATAGAGCCCCATCAAGGAAGATAAATAAAACTGACAAAGAACATGGAGCATCAACATCTAGATTCTGTGGTGTTATTGTAGGTTGACATGTTTTGGCTGGCTAGGTTTGGTTCTGATGACGGCTAAACTACCTAACTGAAACATATTGTTAATAGTGTTATGTAACCAGTGATGATAAATAAACATTCCTTTTGAATACTGTTTACAGAATCCACATTGTTACAATTAGATACATTCACAGTTTATACATAGGCAGCATTCACTATGTCTTTCATATCTATGCATTATTTATCATTTAGTTATTTCATATCAATTATACTGTGTACTTACATTTACAGTCATGATAACAAACATTTCAAATTTCAAAATAGTACAAAATTTAGCTAATAAAATATTGCATTTTTTTAACTTCCAATTCTGTCATAGGTAGGTATGTCATACCATACTAAGCGATTAATCTCCCTATGTGTCCCAGAACAACTTTCTTCATTGTCCCCTAGAAATTGAGAAATTTAACATGCCATATATATAGAGGATTTCCTGTTAAGTGTTGGTGCTTTTGGTTGAAAATATTCTGACATTTTTACCTGTAGATAAATCACTACAAATCAGAATTTAATCAGATATTGCTGAATTATAAACACATCATACTTTAAACCCAACTTTGGTGAAACTAGGATGAAAAACAGAAGGAATGATACAGATTACTGTTTCAATATTGTTTGTAAAATAAGATTAAATTTTTCAGTTTAGATGTCTGGAAAGGTAGGCATATTCTTCAAGGGATGTTAGTTTTCTTTTTATGATAAATAATAGAAACTTGGGTGTTTAAATTATGGAAGCACAAAGTTGACCAAAACCAGTAAGGTAAAAAAGATACAATTTTTTCAGTTTCTGAAGTCTGTTAAAGAGAACACCAAAGATCAGTAAGTATGAATGTTATATATTTCGATTATATACATATCAACATTTTGTGATAGTTGTTATTAAAAACAAAAGAAATCTCAGTTTAATTATGTTTTTCTGTTGTTAGGTGATCCCATGGCCCAGCCATATACGCTAGCAATAGCCAAAGGACTGGCTATGACAGCTCTGGATATCTTCACAAAACCAGGTCTCTTGTCTGATATAAGGGCAGACTATCAGAAGGATGTTAGTGAACATGCATAAGTGCAAATTAATATTAGCTCAACATAGCAACAGTGATATTTCATACTTTAACAGATTTTCAGTCGGAATGATCAGTGACAAGTGTTTTCAAGATATAGATGTATATTATAAATTGCAGTATTTATTATCTCCCTACCCCAACCTCCACCCCCCCACCCTGTCCCCATTTAGTAAAGCAGGTATGCAGTGATCAGTTGATCTGTTTGTCTGTACTTGCATGCATTTGCTCGTTCAAACACTGGTGCAGAGCTTGTGTACAAGATATCTCTCCAACACCTCAACATGTATACAGTTCTATATGTATAGTTCATAATCACCCAATAACACCATTCAGCTCTACACCTGATTGGCCACTTTTAAAATAAACAGCTTGCAATTGTGTACAGAATAGCTCATGAACCCAATGGCAGATTTAGTATATATTCTTACCATAACCCTTGGCCATCCAGGTATACACTGATTAAATTTGGTAGTTATTAGTCAGGGTCAAAGATCAAATGTCACCCTTGACTACTTTTGAAACAAAAAGGTTGTGTATAGAACCCATGAACATATTTAGTTTATATACATATATCACACTTAACCAGCAAGTTTTACACCAGATTAGATTTTGGTGGTCATCGGTCAAGGTTAAAGGTCAAAGGTCACCCTTGACTACTTTTGAAACAAAAAAGTTGTGTACAGTATATCTTGTGAACCCATGATCAGATTTAGGTTATATTCACACCATAACACAAGTTCTACACCAGATCAGAATTTGATGGTCAAGGTTAAAGGTCAAAGGTCACCCTTGACCTCTTTTGTAATAAATAGCTCCATTACAATATATTTCATGAATTTATAGATAGATTCTGCTTCTGAGTATCATGTCATCCTATCAAATTTTGTACTTGTTCACAGTGAAGCTCACACCATCAAATTGTATATCAGAGTATATTTTGGTGCTCATTGTGCTAAATATGAGGGATGTGAGATGGTGACACTAATTCAACAGTATTACCACATGTAATCTCATAGAATTATATAAGATTGATATGGAATGAGTTTGATATTGCGCATGTCCTTTTTTACTTCTTATAGAAAATGTTGAAATAATTATCAGAATTACACATATGTGACTTGTTTTGTGTTGACTATCAAGAGTTTTATCCAAATTTAATGTGTGTAGATTGTAACCAGTAATATGTTGAAATGATTTTAATGTCTTACACTAGTATCATATTACACAACCGTCAATTAGATTTGTAAGAAAAGGCCTTTAACTAGCAGGACTTCATATTTAGAAAAACACGATTATAGTAGCAGAGCCAATGAATGATTCTTCAAAGAAATAAAAAAAAAAATAAAGATCGGAACTCTTTAAATTATTTTTTTTCTTTAGTTTGAGAGAGTTTAAATCATACGACTCTTAATTGGTGTTTCTGATTTCATTGTTGAAGGTACATGATCCGTCGTCAATGGAGGTTCTGACATTTAAATGCTTGTTTTTGGTTGATATTGTACGTTTATATATTCAGTCTTTTTTCTCACATGCAGACCCAATTTTAGGTACATCTCAAATTACCTCCGGCAAATTGTTATCAACATTGACAGAAATGTTTCTTGTACTACTGTGGTTTTTCAAATATTGTCATAGTTCAATGAGAAATTTTAGTTTTTGCTAACTTTTAATTGATGTCAAGGCATGTTAATATCTTAATGAGTTCTGATGATAAAACATAAATATGTATTCCCTTCATTTTACTGTTGTCATGACTCAGGGTATGACTGAAAGATTGGATTTTATGTTGGTATCAACATACTCTGATTCACCTGTTATTTCTTTTTCTTTTTTGTTGAAATGAATATACGGACTTGCAATAAATTGAGATGTATAGTTTTTATTAATTATATTTTTACTATAAAAATTAGATAAAATGATATGGAAATCGGAGAGATCAGTTTAAGGAAATGCTAGACTCCAAAATAATCGGGTATTTGTGAAACTCATAACAGAGCTGATTGATTGGGCCAAACATATCGGTTTCCCGTCTTAAAAAGTTAGGGTCGGTAAGTAGGGTTTTTTCTCTTGTAATATTTGTATGTTTTTGACACTGAAGTACCACATATTGATAAGGGAATGTTTTTACACCCATGTGACGGGTATGTGTAAGTATTGTGTGTATCACGTGATGTTTCTCATGCTAAATATCAAAATATGTGATGCTATTTGATCGATTGTCTTCCTGTACTGGCAAGGTCCAGGGTTCAGTGAAATCCTATCGAACAGTACCACGTGTAGGCGGGGTTAACTTGCGCTTATAAAGGTCTTGACAGATGGCAGGACAGGCAAGGCTATTCCTATAAATCCTGCCAACGTGTTAAAAAACAAAGATAAATATAATTTAGGTCAAGATATGTAAAATCAATCCAGAGTTATCAAATTCAGAACAGGTGCATACTTGTATGGGAAACCTAATCTCGCGTTTGCTTTTTGTGAAAAATCTATTATAGCATGGCGATCGCGTTCTTCACAAATACGTAGGTGTTCAGAGAGTGTTTGACGGTATAAATGTATATTTCGAGTGTCTAAAGTGAATTTTCCTTAGGTATAATCTTGAAACAGGAAGCAGATAGAAATTACAAAAAAAATTACAGCTGTTCAGCTCTTCGGTTTTATTTACCCGAAGAGCCACTAGAAATGTAGAATAAATAAAACCCGCCAAGCCTCGAACTCTGGGGAGGTGAGAACGCTGGTTTATGACAGCTTTTAAATTTGTATTGCTGTATTGTCAAACACTATGGATTTTTTATACATTTATTATATATTTGTCTGGACCTGACAATTAGTTTCTGACTATCATGAACGAATTTGAACTTAAATGTTGCCGTCCAAAGAATTTTCACAAGTTTCATTTCCATCAACAAAACACTTGTGATTTCAGGTACCCATTATAATCTTATCTACAGATTACTGGGATATATCTGTAGGGGACACAAAGTGAATACCTATAAACCACTTTAGTGGCATCAAATTTGAAATTGATGATCATTGAAACAGAAGTCTCTTTGCGTTACGATGATAAATAATATGAATGTAGTACTCAAAATGTTCGGTATTCAAAGTCAAGAATTCGTGTGTTGAAATGTGGTTGTGATGATGACTAGAGAGATGGTCGTTCAAAAGACTCAAAGTTGAACAGCATATTCCAGTAAAAATGTTTGAACGTTTAGACGTTGAAGCAATTAATATGTATCATCGATGGAGCAGAAGACGCATACTCTTCTGGGACACCTGGTGTTGTTCTCCTTGTAATTTTTCAGGGATCTCCATGTAATGTCGTGTATGTATTGGGACTAGTAAGTAGGCTACCGATATGAAATAATTACAAAATAAACTGGTCGTAACGTCTTTTATTGGGGGTACTTGGGAAGATTAGAGTAGAGGACTTAGGACATCTTCGGAAAGAAGATTATATTTATTGACAAGTATGGATCCCATATCCGTACTTGTCAATAAATTGGTTTAGTTAATCAATTCATTAATCCAGTTCTCGGGTACCTTTGGTCGCGACAGATCCTAGCTAAATGGGGCCGAACATTATCTGGTTGGTGAGGTTGTATTGCTGCAGTAATGGGTCAACATAGGGTCGGAGGATCTAATCTCTATACCTAGGGGCAGTTAAATTACGTCACACCTGTAGGCCTGTTCAATTGGTTATTGACAAAAACCAAAGACCGCACGGCCTGTAGGTACACCTACATAATCATATACAATATACAAGTGGCAGAATGGAGGTTAGATACAATAGCATACACCATTAAATTGACAATTTAGTGTTAACAATATCATCTACTGGAAACATTCACCATTTTGATCATCTAATGCATCTACTATTTATGTATTTGTAACATTTCTTAAATCCATGGCTGACTTCAGAAATCTACATATATTGAGTTGTTGTTTATAGTTTTCCTCTGTTAGTAACTAAATAAGTTTGTACACTGATGGGCGATTACAAAATATCTTTTTACATATTTTTCCTTAGGTTAGAATATAAAGGACAGCTTAGCATGAAATGGTACTCATCTTCAATTTCTTGTAATTGACAATACATACATTATCTTTGACTTCTTATCTTTGATAAGTAATACTGCAGTGAATAACTACGGTTATCAATTAGATATTTATATAAATCACGTTTACTCGATGTTTCAAAACTTGATAACATATTTCGGAAGAAAATATCATTCAGTCTCATTTTAACAGTTTTTAAAAATACATTTTTGTCAGAGTAAACAATACCTTGATTTTCCCCATACATACATAAATCCTGTAGTACACAGGTTGTGTTTAATATGACTCACCCAGTTTACAATTCTACCGGGATTTGCATTACAAATGTTAAGTTGTTCTTGGTATATACCCTATAAAATACAATTGTCAGTATCCAAAAATGTTAACCAATATTTAATAGCTTGGACATTTCTGTAAATGTACAATGGCACTCATCCAAGCTCATTGTAAATCATCATATTTGAAGCTCTAGAAGGAGCCTTCAGAATTCAGAAAATACAAATGTACATTTTCTATATCTTTGGCGGCGTGAAAACCCCATACCTCACAACCATAGTTAAGTATACTTGTAACGTATGTGTCAAAAATTGACTGTTTAGTAATGACATTAAACTGATATTCTCTAAAATATTTTTCTAAACCAAACAACGCTTTTTTGCCTTGTGTAGCTAAGGTTTTCTGAGTAGCAGTAAATTTACCATTGTAATTGAATACAAGTCCTAAGTAACAAAAATATCGTACAATTTTAACAGATATAAAACTATAATTCCAGCGTTCGTTCTCTCTAACATTACCGCCATTCCTAAAAATCATACCCTTAGTTTTATTTATATTTACAGATAACTTCCACTTATTACAATAATTACTGAGTTCATTAAGCATAGACTGTAAGCCTTTTGCAGTCTCAGAAAATAAAACCGTATCATCGGCATACATTAATAACATAAGCGATACATCACAAAAATTCAATTGCGTCGCAATTATGATATAAATCATTTTCTAGATCGTTAACGTACAGAGAAAACAAAATTGGAGATAACGATTCACCTTGGTACAATCCGAGATTACTAGAAAAATCGTCAGATAATAATCCATCTGTTCTGAAACGAGTTTTTACATGAGTAAACAATGATTGTATCATTTTTAGCATTTTACCAGTTACATTTTGTTTGATAAGTTTTTTCCACAGGAAAGTTCTGTTCACAGTGTCGAACGCCTTCTGGTAATCAACAGAACAGCAGTAGAGACGTTTTTTCTTTGTTAAATAATTGTTTATTAGACCATGTAATGCATAAATTGCATCTACAGTTCCATAACGTTTTTAAAAAACATATTGTGCATCTGACATCACATTGTATGATTCTGACCAGTTTAACAGTCTGGTGTTCAAAGCTGATGTAAATATTTTACCCAAATTACTAACAAGTGTTATACCTCTGTCATTATTCACATCGTTTTTGTCCCCTTTTTTATACAAAGGGATAACAATACCTCCCGCCCAAGATGTAGGGAAAAACCCAGATTTAAATATACTGTTAAATACTTTACATAACAAAGGTACAAACATTTCCTTCGCATGTGTAAAGTATTCATTTAATAAATTGTCAGCACCTGGGGATTTATCATTCTTGATACAATTTAATACTCTCAATACTTCAGACTCTGTTATTACAGCGTCCAGTTCATCACACACAGTCGGGAATATCTTGTATAATGTCACTTTCGCTTGTGTCGGAAGTACACAATGTTTTGAAGTATTGGTAAAAATCTTCACAATTTAGAGAATTTCTTGTTACTTTCTTAAAACAATTTGAAGTACTGATTTGGATTAATCTTACTTAAACTTTCAATAAAATTCCCTTCTTGACGTTTATATTTGTTACGCAAACGTCGTTCCAATTGTTTATATTTACGTTTGCAGATCATAGGCCGATTACGGCTATGTAAATTTCGTGACCGATTAAATTGCAGCTCGTCGTACAAGTAGCTTGACGTCGTCGTTGTCACGGTACAGTGTCTGGAGTCCGGTAGACTGGGCCTTTCGCCAAATGCACTGGTTGAAGTGGAAAAAATATCCCTTAATGGTGATACCGTGGAAAACATGTCGGATGGCGTTGAGTGCAGCTACCTCAAAATCGACGAAGGCTGTAGTGGGTCGGAATGGAATGTCGAAGTGTGTCATGTGACCATGGAGAAGGGTGAAGAAACGGCTGTAGATTGCCTGGCTCTTTCCGAGTAGTAATGCGTATACGACTGGTGTCATGATGCCTTCATTCTGTACATGGACGCTGTAAATCTGATGAAACATTGTTGGACAGTTGTAGAAAGTTCCGTCACAGAAGAAGGTGTCAGATGCTGCAAGTTCGGCCAGGTTCTCCGACGAAGCGAATGCGATCATCCTGTTGTTCTGTTCACCGTCGTCAAAGAGGAGAAATGGTTCGTCAGTAGATGCTTCTGTCCATCTTCCATCCAAGGTGATGTCGGCCAAAGGTAGTGGAGGAGTCTGCTTGCGGCGAGCACGGTAAAGAGACGATTTCGCTGTGTAGAATGTTGGTAGTCGCTGGACCACGGCCTTGGAAGTGTCATCCCAGTCGTTGTCTCGGGTTAATTGAGCTCTTCCTCAAAGATGGACGGAATAGGCTGGACCGATTATACGCATTTATTGGTGATCTGGTTCATGATGTGTTTGGCAACAACACTGGCTGGGTCTGAGGGGTGGGTGTGTGAATTTCTTCCGAAGTTAGCTGGTATGTTGTCGATTGTCGAGAGTGATGCTGAGCAGCCTGAGGTCGAAGATCTCCAGAATGTCCTGCTGCCGT